GCAAAGGTGAGAAACATCAGGAATAGGAATAAAATGAAGCCTGACCTCAGAGCTCCTTCTGAAACTGGGGTCTGGCAGCTGCCAGAGCCATCCTGGGAGCACCCGGACACCCTGCCCGCATGGCGTGGACACCCCTGTCCCAGCACCCCCACCCCATCTGGGCCACGACACCCCGGAGCCACCTCCAAAACATCCTCAAAGGCCACCTTGGCAGGTGCTTGCCGGGAGTGCCGCAGGCGAGCGGGGGCTGCAGACACTGCCGCGTCCGCTGGAAGCTGATGTCTCTACCTGTGAATGTCACAGACTGGGGACAGCCCTGCCTGCCACCTCGTGCCCCATCCCCTCTGGCTCCCACAAACCCTCCTGGCTCTGAACCCGGCCCCCAAACCATTGCCTGGGTGGTGGCATGTCCCAGGGCTGGTCCTGAGTCCCCATGTCCCCGCTCGCGGTGCAGGTTGAGGCGTCGCTGGAGGAGCAAAACTTCACGGAGCTGTGGGGGAAGAAAGCCAAGGAGCTCTTCGGCAGCATCTGGAGCAACTTCAGTGACCCACAGCTGAGGAAAATCATCGGCTCCATCCAGACCCTGGGACCCTCCAACCTGCCCCTGGAGAGGAGAGAGCAGGTAGGTGAGGTGCCGGCAAAGCCCAGGACATTGCTGGGGTGCTGCGAAACCCCTTAAAGGGATTTTTCCCAAGCTTCCGAACTCCATTGCTGGCCTGTTGCCCCTCTGTTGCATTTTGGAGGGTCTCCCTGGCCTCTGCACAGGAAAGACAGTGATGGAGGGGGGAGACGGGGTGCTATCTCCAGGGAATGTGGGGTGCCTGCTGGCCCCATTATCCAGCCCTAACCTCATCTCAGAGCTATCCCAGTGGGAACCGGAGATTTCCTGCTTACATAGAGTGGCCTTGGGCGTCACCTGGAGACCAGCCAGGCTGTGCCCATGGCCGGGGGCCAGCTGGCTCGACCCCCCCCTCCGGTGCCCCTCGGGGATGCGGCCCACTGAACAGGAGGGCTGCTGCAGCCACCCAGCTCCTGAGCCCTCCCTGCGAGCCCAGAAACACTGTGTCTTGGTGCCATAGTTCCACACTAGGGACGTCAGGACATCCTGAGCCTTCCCCAACACGGTCCTGAGCTTTCAGGGTCGTTTACCTAAACGCGACGTGATTTCGATTTCCGTGCATGAAAATATTGCCCAGGTTGAGGCTGGCAGCCGCTTCTCTCTGCACGAGCGCAGGGACGCTGGCACTGCCGTCCCCTCCAGCCTGGCCCCCTGACAGCCCTCCCCTCCGAAACCTCTCTTGGCTGGCAAGCCCAGTGATACAATCCTTTCCAGAGAAGCGTCGGCCCCAGTTCCTTCCAGGAAGCCCATCCCTGCCCCCTCCCAGATAACAGACAGCATCACGTCCCCTCCCTGCACATCGGCCACCTTTCGCCTGTCCCCAGGCAGCTCCATCCCGCAGCCGCCACCGTCCCCCGTCTCCATCCCCTCCGCCCGGCCGCAGCAGAGGGATGGGAGCGGAGAGAGGGACGGAGCGGAGGAATTTCCTTCCCTGGGAATGGGCTCCTCGGGCAGGTTCCAGGAAACCTCCTGTTGCTATTGTTTGCTGTTGTTGAAGTTCACAGAAATAAATCCCCCTCCTCCTCCTGCTTTTCTTCTTTTTTTTTTTTTTTTTTTTTACCCGCTTAGATAAACAGGCCGTGCCGCAGCCCCGCTGACAAAGAGCTTTATAAACAGCCCCGCTCCGGGACACCGCGAGCGCTCACGCCACGTCCGAGGGGGGTTTGGCGAGCGGCTGTGCATGGTTTGTCTGTCCCAAAGAGCCTCCCTGCTCCCACCACGCGAAGGGTGTAAAACTCTGGGTAATAACACACTTATCTCACCAAAAGCATGCTGTGTAAACACACCGATCCTCCTCCACATCCCTCTGGACGCACACACACGCTCTGGAGATGGGAAGTCTGTAGATCCCTCCTGAAGGACCATTCCCAACCCCTTCCAGCCCCAACATCTTTTCCTTCTCCGCAGTACAACACCATCCTAAGCAACATGGACAAAATCTACTCCACGGCCAAGGTGTGCCTGGCCAACGGTACCTGCTGGGAGCTGGAGCCAGGTATGGTCTTCGTCCTTCTGCCCCTCTGGGGTGCTGAGCACCCCATGACCATGAGTTTGTCCCGGTCCCCACATCCCCAGCGACTTGGGGTTGGCAGGTCCCACCCTTGTCCATCAGGGTTGCCCCGGGGCAAGGATGGGTAGTTGGGTCTGGCGCGATGGTGGTGGCACCTCTGCAGAGCTACTGTGGGATGTGACCCCCTCTCCTGCCCCTTTCTCATGTCCTACTTGTCCCCTTGTCCCAGACATCTCAGACATCATGGCCACCTCCCGCAGCTACAAGAAGCTGCTCTACGCCTGGGAGGGGTGGCACAACGCTGCAGGCAACCCGCTGCGCGCCAAGTACGAGGAGTTTGTGAAGCTGAGCAACGAGGCCTATCAGATGGATGGTACGAGCAGGATGGGGAGATGCAGGGGGTGGTCAGGGATCAGGGGAGGGAACTGGGGCCGGGGCAATGGGGTGCCCTGCTGCACTCCCCATCCTGCATGCGGCCAGGCATCCAACTTCCATTTCCCCGGTGCCAACACTTTGGGGAAGGGGGCAAAAATCCTACTGCCGTTCCCTGGTCCCAGCTCTTGGGGCTGGGTGGGGGGGCAGCCCCCGGGGGCCAGAGCCAAAGGTCATCACTGCCTCCCTGGCAGGATTCGAGGACACAGGCAGCTATTGGCGCTCCTGGTATGACTCAGCCTCCTTCGAGGATGACCTGGAACATCTCTACAACCAGCTGGAGCCGCTCTACCTCAACCTGCACGCCTTTGTCCGGAGGAAGCTGTATAACCGCTATGGCCCCAAATACATCAACCTGAAGGGTCCCATCCCTGCTCACCTCCTGGGTAAGAGGAGGGACCCCCACAGCCTGTGCCCAGGGGTGCTGGTGAGGCCAGAGGGGCACACGTCAGGCATAGTGGGACAGGGAGGTCCCAGTTATCACTGTGTTTCTCTTCCTCCCAACCTACCACCAGCTCTGCTCCAGCTGTTTTCTCTTCTCAGGCAACATGTGGGCTCAGCAGTGGAACAACATCTATGATCTGATGGTCCCCTACCCCGAGAAGCCCAACCTCGATGTCACAAGCACCATGGTGCAGCAGGTGATGGGCTGAGGGACTCACTGGTGGCACCAAGGGGACAAAAATGGGGGGTATTGGCCAAGGCTTGCCCATAACATTGACCCCATGGGAGTGGTTTCTCATATCTGCATAGGGGACAGCAGAAAAGCCATGTCTGGGAGGGGAAGGGACAAAGAAATGACCCCACTCCCACTCTGGCAATGACCAAAGAGGCAGCAGGTGGGCTATAAGTAAGGACAGTGCGGTGGGACGGGTGCCAGTGCCCAGGCTGGGGGCTGCGTCCACCATCACAGAGCTCGGAGCGCTCCTGGGGCATCAGCCCTGCTCCCTTGCCCTGTCCATGCTGGGCACCAGCACCACTGCTTGGTGCTTCTTAGGGATGCTCACACCAATTCTGGGGCCAGGGCTCCCCATCAGGGTGAGAGGGGCAGGACCCCTGGTCCCTTGGATGGACCCACCTCATCCCCACGGTGCTGGGAGAGCATCAGAGGCAATGTCCAGGGCACGGGCAGCCCTTTCCTCAGCCGTAACCCACTGCCTGCTGCCCACCAGGCCTGGAACGCCACCCACATGTTCCGGGTCTCGGAGGAGTTCTTCACCTCCCTGGGGCTGCTGGAGATGCCCCCTGAATTTTGGGAGAAGTCCATGCTGGAAAAGCCAACAGACGGGCGGGAGGTGGTGTGTCACGCCTCAGCCTGGGACTTCTACAACCGCAAGGACTTCAGGTACCCGTGGGGAGCAAGTGGTGGCCTCAGCTGATGTGGTGCTGGGGCAGAAAGCAAAGTCTTTGGAGAGCCTCAGCCTGGGACTTCTACAACCGCAAGGACTTCAGGTGTGTGGGGGCATGCAGGGCCCAGGGCTACAGGGTAGGACACTCCTCCATTCCCCTCGGTGGTCACCATTTTGGGTACCCCCAGCCTGGCCGTACAGCCCAATCCGTCACCGTCTGGGGCACCACACTGCCCTGCCTTCCCCTCCCCTGGGTCTTTCCCCAACCCCATGGGGTGCTGCCACCCTCTCAGGGACTGTGGAGGGTCCTTCCCATCGAGGGGGTGCACAGGCAGCCGGGGTCCCTCACTCAGCTCAGGCAATGCTCTGTTTTCACCCGGCAGGATCAAGCAGTGCACGACGGTGACCATGGAGCAGCTGTTCACGGTGCACCATGAGATGGGCCACGTTCAGTACTACCTGCAGTACAAGGAGCAGCCCGTATCCTTCCGCAGCGGGGCTAACCCTGGCTTCCATGAGGCCATTGGCGATGTCATGTCCCTGTCTGTCTCCACGCCCAGCCACCTCAAGAAAATCGGTCTTCTCAGCAATGCCACTGAGGACGCAGGTATGGCAGCCACCCTGGGGAGCTGGGTGGCCTGGAGGCACCAGGAAGGGTTTGGGATATGCCATGGTGGGCTGCGGTCTGGCAATGCAAGCCAGAGCAGGCAAGACCCCATGGCCGATGTGTGCTTTTCACCCGTGTTTGGTTCCATGCGCAACCCCTTCTTGTCTCCATGGGTCCACGTAGGACCCTTCATGGCTCCATCCTCTTCACCCCTGAGGGCAGGAGGGATGCTCTCCAGAGCTTGTCTCTTCCCTTCCCTTCTCCATCAGAGAGCTGATTGCAGCATCTTTGTGCTTGATTGGCTTTGACCTTTCCAGCGTTCCCCCTTCCCTCGCCAAGAAACATCCACCCCAGGAGCTCCCCGTCTAGCTCTGTGGAGGTGGCACTGGGCTTTTACGTGCACAGTCACGAGGACAGTCAGCGGGTGACGTTTCTGCCTGCCAGCTGGCGCAGCAGAGGAGGACTTGTAACCACAGGGCACTGCCCGGCTTGGCAAGAGTCTCTCCCCCCGCCCAACGTCTCTCAGCCGACACATCAAAGCAGACGGCAGCAGAGGAAACCAAGCGTTCGCAGATTCCTGCCGCAGGCAGCTGCTTTGCGGAGGAGGGACAGTCCCGGGATCCTCCTGCCTTGTCATTAAATACGTTTCATGACAGGGAAGCCATCGCAGCAGCCAAGAGCGTTGGGCCGGTGCTGCATAAACACCACGGAGCAGATGGTCCCTGCCTCAAGGCATTGCTGCCCGACTAACCAGCCCTTGGCAGCCATGCCGCCATAACGACGGCAGCCAATAGCCCCTCAGGGCAGTGCTGCCAACCCCTCTCTGACCCCACGGCTTCAGCTGGGTCTCCAGCAGGTCCTCCTCCAACCTTCCTTCCCCGGGTTTCCTCGAGGCAATGGGGAAAGCAGATGTCACCATCCCCTGTGCTCCCCATGATATGGTGGTGACTGTCCTAGAGGTGACTCGGTTCTGGGTCTAAACCAGGAGAGCCTTTGCAGTGGTGTGACAGCCCTGCAGATCAAACCCCCTTCACCCCGAGGCCCTAGGGTGAATGTGTGAAGAGGGAACCATTAGAGTTACACTCACCAAAGACCTTCTCACTCTGAGGGCCAGGCTGAAGACAAGGAGACACCGTGCTTGTCACTCCCGTTATCCCCACCCAGCAACAAGGCACATGTTGCCCCAAGTAGGAGCTGTATCTAGAGAAACCTCCTGTGTCCTACACAGCCTTCGCTAAGGAGCAAAACTCTATGTTGAAATGCTGTCCCCATTTCTCATCCAGATCTGCTCACCCTCTTGCCCACAAAAAGTCTAGTGGTCATAGTGCTGTCCAGCCAGACTCCTTCCCAACCTAGTTCAGGCTCTGTTTCACGCAGAGAGCAACATCAACTATCTGCTGAAGATGGCCTTGGAGAAGATCGCCTTCCTGCCCTTCGGCTACCTCATTGACCAGTGGCGCTGGAATGTGTTCAGTGGCCGCACGCCCCCGAACCGTTACAACTACGACTGGTGGTATCTGAGGTAAAGGACAGTCACCAGGGGTGGATCAGGGTGTGGAAGCTGGGGGTGTGCAAGGAAGGAAGACAGCAAAGAGGAAAGGAAGGAAAAAAGGAAAAAGTAGCCATGGAGATGGCTGGAGAAAGATGGATAGATGAGTGGGTGGGTGGGATGGATGGGTAGATGGATGGATGGAAATATATGGAAGCACACTCTACTTGTGTAGATTTCTTAAGCCTTCCCTTCCCATTCCTTGCCTTGGTTCATCTGCCTCCTCCTTTCCAGCTCATGCTCTTGTTCTCTGTTTTCTGCAGAACCAAATACCAGGGTATCTGTGCTCCGGTTTCGAGGAATGAAAACAACTTTGACCCTGGAGCAAAGTACCACATCCCCGGGAACACCCCTTACATCAGGTAGAGGAGGTGTAGATGAGGGGATGGAGCCTTGGGGAACAGGGGGAGTGGGGCCTCAGCTCTGTGGGAGCTGGATGCATTGCTCCTGCTCAAGACACGGAGACTATCCAATGCTTGGGAGCACAAATGGTGGGGAGCTGACATGTGGCCGGGTGCCTACCACCGCACGCTAGGACTTGTCTGCTTCCCTTTGTCCCCAGCGCTCACCTTCATGGGCTTCCTTGGCAGGTACTTTGTGAGCTTCATCCTCCAGTTCCAGTTTCACAAGGCGCTGTGTCAGGCGGCCAACCACAGCGGTCCCCTGCACACCTGTGACATCTACATGTCCAAAGAAGCTGGAGCCAAACTCAGGTGGGGACAGAGGAGGGTCGGGACAATCGCCACGGGCAGATGTGTGCGTGGAAGCTGATGGTGTGCAAAGGAAGGAAAGAAGAAAGGAAGGAAGGAAAAGTGGCTGGAGAAATAGCTTTGCAGATGGATGGATGGATGGATGGAAATACATGGAAGCACTGGGGTGGGGTGAGTGGTCCTCACCAGAGTACTGCTATTGTCCCTGTCATGAGCTCCCACCCAGACAAGAGGTCACTAAAGCACATTTGGTTCCTAATGACTCCCTGGGTGTCAACAAATGCATGAGTATGTGATGGGGAGTCTTCATTCCCATATGCAGGACAGATGGGGGCTTCAGAGGCAGTTCCTAGGTTCATGTCCCACTCAGGAATAGCATCTTCAACCCTTGCGATGATGAGATACCATCACCACTTTTCTCCCATCCATCCCCTGGCCTCATGCTGGCTCTTGCTGTCCTGCTTCTCTGCAGGGAAGTGCTGAAAGCTGGATCTTCCAAGTCGTGGCAGGAAATCCTGTTCAACCTCACTGGCACGGATAAGATGGATGCTGGGGCCCTCCTGGAGTACTTCAGCCCTGTCACCAAGTGGCTTCAGGAGCAGAACAATAAGACCAATGAGGTGCTGGGCTGGCCTGAGTTTGACTGGCGTCCCCCTATCCCTGAAGGCTACCCTGAAGGCATTGGTAAGGCTGCAGCTCCATCCTGGCTCTGGGAAGGAGCAGGAAGGGGTCTCCCAAGGGACATCACTAACCCCCAGGCAGGACAGTGCTGAGGAAGGTCTCTGCTGTGGGTGGGGGAGGTCTCCATGCCAGGAAAGAGAAATAACCATTTCCACATGGAGTCCCACAGGGAGTTGCTTCCCAGGAAGCAGGTGCCACTAGCCAACTTCTTGACGTACCATTGTCTGAAGCTGTGGCCCTGCCACTGTAGTAATGCCATCAGTCACGGTGTGACAGGTCATCTGTTTTCAGCTGTATCCTTTCTGTCCAAGAGGAAGGGTCTAGGGCATGCAGCGTGTCCTGTTATCCCATCCCCTGTCCCATGGAACACCTCCAGCAGGACCCCTCTGCCACCTCTGGCTGAACTTGCTCCCAAGCTGTGGCATCCTTCAATGGACCTGCAGTTCTGGGAAAAGCTCAGCCATGGCTTCTCCATGGGGAGGTGCTCTTGCAACGAGAAGGGCTCTCCTGACTCCCCTTCTCTTCCCCCATTTATCTCCTCTTCTAGACAAAATAGCAGATGAAGCACAAGCTAAAGAGTTCTTGTCCGAGTACAACAGCACGGGCGAGGTAGTGTGGAACGCCTACACGGAGGCATCCTGGGTCTACAACACCAACATCACCGACCACAACAAAGAGATCATGGTATGGGAATGACCTTGGGGCTGTGCGGGGAGAGACAACAGCCGAGGCAGGCGGCTGGTACCCAAGGCATGTTTCAGATGAGCTCCAAAAACCAGGGCAGCCTCTGCCCCTAGCCAAGGGGTAATGTTCTCACCCAGGATGTGCCTTTTCCATGAAAAACCTCGTAATGCCATGAGGTACCCACGAGGGCAGCCACGGGGAGGTTGTCAGTCATGGCATGCCAGGTGGTGTTTCTAGTGATGGCCTGTGTCTCAGGGATCTTCTCAAAGTAACTTCTCTTCTATCCCCTCCTGCCCTTGCAGTTGGAGAAGAACTTGGCCATGTCCAAGCACACCCTTGAGTATGGCATGAGGGCCAGGCAGTTCGACCCCTCCGACTTCCAGGACCAAAGTGTCACACGCATCCTCAAGAAGCTGAGTGTCATTGAGAGGGCAGCCCTGCCGGAGAATGAGCTGAAGGAGGTGAGCTGCAAGGGGACAGAGCAGGACAGGGGGTCCCTTGCCACTACCTTGTGTGGAGACGCAGGTTTCTCCCAACTTTTAGGAAATGCCACTGAGCAGCCACCCCTTGCCCTTGAACAAGGTGATAGTTTGGTACCTTCTACACAAAGCCATGATCCTTGTCTCCAGGATTTCCCACCCAAAGGTTGCCCATTCCAGGCTGCTTGGGTGGCAATGGCACACTGCTTGTTAGCTCTTGTCCCTCCTATATTGACTCCATTTTGCCTCCGTTTGGGGTCACACTTGGCTTTGGAAGGGACCAGATGAAAACACCTGGGGACATCTCAATGGGCTGTGACATTCTCCAAGAGCAGAAGCAAGGATAACCAGCTCACATGATCTGATTTTCTTTGCAGTACAACACCCTCCTCTCAGATATGGAGACCACCTACAGCGTAGCCAAGGTCTGCAGAGAGAACAAAACCTGTCACCCCTTGGACCCTGGTAAGATCTGGCAGGGTGTCCAGTGAGTCATCTGCAACAGGCCCAGAGAGGAGGGATTTTTAATAGGGACATGGAGAAAGGTCATGAAGGGGCCTTCCCACCTTCTCTGTGATGGCCTCTGAGCAGCACGTTGGGTCTAGCACCATTGCATCAGTCCAGCCCACCCAACAGCATCACTTTGGCTTCATTGCTCTCTCTTCAGACCTCACAGACATCATGGCCTCCTCACGGGACTATGATGAGCTCCTCTTTGCCTGGAAGGGCTGGCGGGATGCTTCTGGGAAGAAGATCAAGAACAACTACAAGCGATATGTGGAACTGAGCAACAAGGCAGCCATGCTCAATGGTCAGTGTCCTGTTCCCTTAGAGACCCACCTGCAAGCAGAGGATTGGGCTGATTGTCCAACCCATGGCCAAAATCTTGAGGATGTGGATGTCCCACCAACCCCCATGAGATCCACTGTCTCACAGATATGGAGGGAGCTAGGGTGTCTGAGTAGCAAGACAGACTCTTGCCCAAGAAGGACAGTGTCTAACAGCTTCTACTCTTCCCCTACCACAGGCTACACGGACAATGGGGCCTTCTGGAGATCCCTGTATGAGACACCCACCTTCGAGGAAGATCTGGAGAGGTTGTACCTGAAGCTACAGCCCCTGTACCTCAACCTGCATGCCTATGTACGCCGAGCCCTATACAAAAAGTATGGTGCAGAGTACATAAACCTGAAGGGTCCCATCCCTGCTCACCTGCTAGGTAAGGGCTTTGCTAGGCCCTCGAGCAGAACCGTGTCTCCCACCAGGCATAGTTTGCTCCAAGTCATGCCAAGAGTTGAGGCTGCTCTCTGTTCAGCTCTGGCTGAAGGGCCAAGGCCCCATGAGATGGGTCTACAGAAACCAGTCTGCCCCAGGGAAGGGCAACGCACTCGGCATGACTTGACCTCTCCTGCATGGACAGGCTCCTGCTCGCATCACCCTTGAGCAGGCAGGGCAGGGACCAGGCAGAGTGATCCACTCTGTGCAGGAATCGGGAGTAACTGGTTGCCTTTTCTCTTCTCCCCCTGTCTCCCTCCTGCCATGCACTGTCCTCCTGTGCTTCCCAGGCAACATGTGGGCCCAGTCATGGTCCAACATTTTTGACCTGGTGATACCTTTCCCGGATGCCACCAAGGTGGATGCCACCCCAGCCATGAAACAACAGGTCAGTGCTTTTCCAGGCTGCTCTGGGGAAGCCCCTTGGGACCCAGAACCCTTTGGCTGTTGCCACCACCCATCTTGCCAAATGCTCTGGTGCTGTCCATAACCTCCATGGCTCATCCATATTGTCTCCCCACCTGGATATGCCAAGGGCTGGATCAAGCTCTAGCTGGCCCCAAAAGACCTCCCCTGCTCAGAGGAACAAGGCTGTCCCTGGCCTCCCGTCCTTCCCAGCTCCCAGCAGCCCTAGCATCCCTCATTGCCCCTCACCAGGTCCTCTGTCTGCTCTCTCTGCAGGGGTGGACACCCAAGAAGATGTTTGAAGAGTCAGACCATTTCTTTACCTCTCTGGGCCTCATCCCCATGCCAAAGGAGTTCTGGGACAAGTCCATGATCGAGAAGCCAACAGATGGGCGGGAGGTTGTGTGTCACGCCTCGGCCTGGGACTTCTACAACCGCAAGGACTTCAGGTACCCGTGGGGAGCAAGTGGTGGCCTCAGCTGATGTGGTGCTGGGGCAGAAAGCAAAGTCTTGGTAGAATAAGGGAACGTGCCCTGATGCCACCGCTGTGTCTGTTGTCCTATGGCTGTGGCAGCCCCTCTCTGGCATTGCCACTGGTCCCCAATCATAGAATCATAGAATCATTAAG